TAATCGGACAACGTCCAAATCACGTTGAAAGTACCAGTTCTCGTCTGATCACTGAAGTCAAGCAACGTTGAGCACGGTCAGTACTTGGATGGGTGACCGCTTGGGAACACCGTGTGATGTTGTCTCTCAATTTTTTATTTTTTGCCATTAAAACAAATTAACAAACATTTTTTACTAAAAAAACGAAATAATTGTAACAAAATAAAAAGATCCCGTTTTGAAAGATATTTTATGAATTTTGTTAAATTATTGTACAATCACAGAATATATATTATTGTTGCCAGGAAGTAATGCACGAGTATGGTTGAATGAATTTTTCCTGTAATATAAATGACAGCGCAAATAATACAATTTTGATTTTGGATTTTCAAAGCAATATTAAGAAGAAATTTAACTTTGATTAATTCAATGCCAACAATTTTATACATTTCTATTACTTTATTAAGCGAGAAAGAAGGATGTACCGCGGACAGAAGATAAAAATATAAACAATAATAACATCGATGTATATTTATTAATATCGAAATTGAGTCTGAGTTAACATTTCATCTTCCTTATTAAAGCAGATAATTTCGAATTTTTTGCCGATCGTATAGCCACACGTAGCGACTGTTGCCGCGATTTTAATCCTTTTAATCGTAATGAATTTTGTGTTAGTCACTACGTGTGGATGTATGATCGGCGAAAAATTCTGCCACCACTTTATAAATTTGCCTCACTCATCTAGTATATCGTTTTGTATCACAATTTTATTGTTGAAAAAGTTTACCAATATTAAAACGAGTCATATCAATATCATAATTTTCTTATTTTAATATTAGAATAATTTAATAATTATTTGTATATACAACTATATTTAAGCTAAATATATAACAGAATATCTAGAAAATTTCAAAAAATTTGATTTATTATAGAGACATTTTATAAAGGCTTGCATCATAATTACACGATGCTATCAGAATTGATTACAAAGTCGTATGCACTATTGTAGTTTAAAATTATATCTTTAAATTCTTTTAATCTAATAACAGCGTGCTTGTGAACTTTCAAGTTTTTCTTTTTGTATCTTACCGCAGTAATCATTTTATCCAAAATGTAATGCAACCACAAAACATTCGTATACGGTTCAAATTTTCGCCAATCATTCCTGCACATATGATGGAAGTACAAACAAACAGTATACAAAAAAAGATAAGAAATAAAATGTATGACTTACTGAATTTTGTCGCGCATAAGACGATAAATCTCAAATTGATATTCACCATGAGCAGTAAATAAAGCTGGATCTAGTGCAAGATCATTATATATGCAACATCCTTGGTACAACATCCTCGATAGAGTAAAATCTATTATAGATACCTTAAGAAAAATTTAATAGGATTATAAAAAAAAGTTGTAATAGTATTTAAAATATTTTTCGTAGAACAAACCTTTACACCTTTACTAGGAAACTTGATCTCTCTCCCTCCGAGATTATAATATATATATTGCTCTTTTGTTCTTGATATTAATACATTACCCCAATGCAAATCTCTGTGTTCAAATTCAAGTGCTTTTTCTGCAACTGCTAAGGCCAATGCAGTCTATAAAATACAAAAATTTATAAACAGTGAACTAATAATTCATCAAGCATTGTTGTCATTTGATATATCTCGGTGATATAAACAACCTATAATTAACCTGTAAAAATAGAGCGCAAGCCTCCTCCGCAGTTTGAAATACAAAGGCTTCAAGATCTTCCCCACCGTGGCTCAGTTCAAGAGCAATATACAATTGATTTTCATCAAACATCGATGGACAATCATTATCGGACGTTTTGTGATTATCATAAATATTCCAAAGTTCTAAGAGTTTTTCTGGATATTTTCCTATAATACAGCTGATATTTTTAACTTCTACAAATCCATTAGTTTTATAGGTATCATTTACTTTTAGATTATCCAATTCCCTGCAAATATCTTCTTTCATGATTTTTGTCAACAATATCATCAATATGTGCATACAATTGATTAATTGACTCACTTTGCAATCACAATTTCTGACAATATTTCATTAAATTTCTTTTGTGGTTCACCATTGACTAATTGTTCATTTTCTATAGGAATAATTTTTATAACAGATTTTTTACCTTCACATTCATGAAGAAAAACTTCTCCATAAACACCTTCGCCTATTTTATGGCAATGTTCCAAATACCTACCAATAAGAACAGAATAATTAATATTACAATTTATATATATTTACATTAATTAAAACAATTTGTATAAATATATACTAAGATCTGCATACAAATCTGGAAAACAATCTTCAAAAGGAATATAACAGTTTTGTGAACATCTCTGTAAAACAACATCTCTTGCAATACTGGAATGATTATTGATAATTTGATTGTTATGTATCAATGATTTTTCCCAGTCTGTAAATATTTATTTAATTTGTACTAATTATTAATATAACATTCTGTGTATATATAAAAATGTAATGCCGTAAAACGAGTAAATTATGCACAGTAATATGAGAATAAAAATGATACTTACATGATAATTTCGAGTTTGAAGATTTTTCTGCAGTTATTCCAAATGCCTCAAGAAATGGAGTGTCTTTGATTTCACACTTAGTGTTTGTACTATTAAGTACAACTCTTACAGAGATTCTTTTAGAAAACCTAGGATAACTCGCTAAATCAAATTCTTTACATTTGTTACTGTTAAACGATGATGCGTTTGATATGTTAAACTTGTCGCTAGATAAATTCGTATCATCGTTATCCTTTTTCAAACAACTTTGAAAAATTCCTGCACGATTATTACAATTTTAATATTGTCTGCCACTACATACATATTATATAATATTATCAGGTTATAAATACTACAAACCCATTTAGTAAAGACTTTAAACGTAAGTATCAAAACTTTTTTTATATTTGCTCAATCTCATTATTATAAAAATGTATCAGATCTTGAAATATTATCACTTTAAAAATTGTACAATGTAAAAAACAGCATCAAAATGTAAAAATTAAATATAAAAATCATTTAAGATCTCTTATTATATTTGTTTATAAGATGTTATTGGTTAGTGCTTCTAAATAACAATTTTGTTTAACAAGTTATCTTCAATTGTTTTTCAAGCAAATTACAAATATTAATATTTATACAAAATTTTAATGTCTTAATTGATGATCCTTAAGTATTTGCACAAAAAATATATAGATTGTCATATTTTAATCTATCATTTTATCTTTGTAGGATAAGAATATCTCGTAAACTATTAATTTTTTAAGTTACTTTAATACAGAGATCAAAAAGATGAATCAATTGGTGTGAAGAAATAAGAAAGAAATAAAAAAATAATATAAAAAAATACCTTGTTTTTGCATATCCAGTACATTTTTGACGCTGTGCCTCCATTTTTTCCCCTTTCCGATACTTAATTTGTCTAAATTAGATTCATCGTTTACATTATTTAATATTGACAAAGATCTAGCCCAATACTTGCCCGGTTTTAAAAAAACAGATTGATTCATTTGTTCATTTGTGTCACTATACGGTTGAGTCAAGGATTTAAAATGATTGCGAGACAAATTTACATTCTTAGAATGCTCAGAATTATGTGCTGATTGAACATTAGAAAGATCTTTGTCAATTGTACCATAGTGAACTTCGTTGTTTGATTGTACGGCTTCATTATTTACACTATCGGAAATATTTGACATGCTTAAATGCCATTTAGGATATTGCATTCTTCTTCCTATTCTAATCGGATCATGTAATCGTGTAAGCAGCACACGAGCATTCATGTTAATATTATCTTGACTTTTATCAAATAAACTGTGTTTATTAACAGTTTTATCTTTAAGGCTCTCATGAATTGCTTCTATTATATTTATTTCTGTTATATCATGATTTTCTTGAAATTTATTTTTTTGCATATTATCTAAATCTTTGAATGTTGAACATACTTTGGAAGGTGATACATACGGTGAGCTTGCATCAGCTTTATTATTACTTGATAATTGCTTTTGTTTTAAACATAAGTCAATGGATGAATCTATAAATATAGTTTCTATAAATTTACGCGTATCAGAACGTTCCTTTTTTATTTTATCTTTATTTATATCTTTCGGCGAATGATTGTGACTATATGTTGTATCATCAAATAATGATCGTGATTGACAAGTAGATATATTTAATAAATACGGAATTTCCGTTTTAACATCACATTCTGTATCATATTTTTGAGTAACATCTGCATGAACATCATTCTTGTAAGACATCACTCCATTTTTAACAACAGAATTTGTAGTTTGTGATTTCTGGGACAATAAAATTTGTATTTGCTGTTCCTGTACATCTGTAGAATTGAGTTTAGAATCTTCCGATATCGTAAATAAAGAATGAGAATTTTTCTGATCAATGTCGGAAATATCTTCTTCTGTAGTTGCTAATGAATCTTCTTGACTCCAATGTGATTTGTTATAAATATTAGACTTAATAGGAGATAATACTACTAAACTAGGTTTGACTCGTTTGTTAAAAGGAGTGCTAGAAAATATGTTAGGCTTTTTTTCAAATACTGTATTATTTTCTTTTGCAAACTCTCCTATTTCTAATCTTTCCACTTTTACAAAACTATTTTTTATTAGATCTCTTTTTTTCTTTGTATCATATGATGTAAGTTCAATACTTTTGTTGCAGTTTGGAATAATTTCAGACGAGTTACTGAAAACCAAATGTGATATGTTTGGTTTATCTTTTATATTGATAGTATCTTCCATGTTTCTTTTACTTTGTAATGCATGCCGATCTTTAACAATATTATTGCACAATGCTACAGAACAATGTTTAACTAACGTATGTTTAAAGTCATTAAACTCATTATGTTCATTTGAGATTGATTGTGAAACAGTACTTTGTACTTTAGAAATATTTTTCTTAGTTTGTAAAGTATCTTGTAACAAGAATTTTGTATCATGCAATGTATCTTGCTTATTTTCTAAAAACTTTTCATGATTCAATGTGTAATTCTGCACAGTACAAGCATTTAATTTAACAAAACATGGTTTGATGATTTGTTGATAGTTATGCTTAAAATCAGCAATGAATTCATTAATTATAATTGATTGATTTTGTGATGTAATTGTTTTGTCAATCTTTAAAACATTTTGTAGCAAAGATTCATGAGTATTGCTGCATAAAATATCGTTTTTATATGAGACATCTTCCAAATTATCTAGAGCATTAGAATTTATATGAGATATCTGTTCATTGCATACACTAGGCTTAGACTTATTTCTGTTCATTGCATGACTAGGCTTAGACTTATTTTTTAGCTCTTTCTTTTTTTTTATCTTGTTTGCTTGTCTCTTCTGCCCCTGGTTATTAATACATACAATTAAAAATAAATTCAATCATTTATTGGAAAAAAAAACGACATACCTGTGCTTTTCCTAAGTATGTTTTATCTTTAACTGACATTTTTTTTGTTTTTTTAGACAACATTCCTATAGAAACCATAACTTCTGATTCAGATTTTTTTTGTTTCCTGCATTTACGAGTCAATTTATGGTTAACATTTATTGAACTAGGTGTACTATTGTGTATAAGATCAGAATCTATATGTTCAGATTTTAGACTTGTTGCAGTAATATCACCATCACTGCTACTGCTTTTCCATGAATCATTTTGATTTGTATCCAATGGCATAGGAGGTATTCTGTGTTGAAAAATATATATAAATTTAGGATTAAATATACACATAGCATATAAAATCTTTAATACATATAATACACAAAAATAAAGTCAATTCTTATAAAATATAAACAAAAATAAATTAATAAAATATGAACATGTTCAATCTATTTATTACAAATTTTTCTTACACTACTTCTTTGGCAAGTCTGTCAAATGTCGTTTCGAATGGATCATAATTTAAAGAGTCATTAAACAATTCATTTCTAAAACGACTGTTTCCCACAAAATCACTTGATACAGCAGATGAATTTATAAAAGGTTTCTTTGTAGGTTTTCTCTGATAAGTTCGAATTGGCTTTTTGCTCAACATTTTACCTAAAAAATAAAAATATTCACTTTAATTTTAAAAGTTATTTTTCAGAACATATAAACAAGTTAGAAAAAAAATGTGATAAGCATTGCAATCAGTATTACTGAATATTTATTTATTAAAAAATGTTAAAACTTTCTTTATAAAGCTCTGTCATAAATGTACGATTTTTAAGAAATATATATGTTTCGAATATTTATATAGATGCAACAAGTTGCATCGTGAGTTTTTATCCTTTTTATCCTTTATAAGTTTGTTCACTCTTATTTCACAATGTTTTCATTCGAAACAAGAGTCAGGCATAAACTACCAAGTACCAAGAATTCAAGGGTCCTAGTTTACATCGAATACTTGAGGCTGCTGTCCCATAAGTGGAAATATACAGCGAAACGGAACAACGGGGCCAATCACAATCGCAGAAAAGAAAGCAGAGTTGTGATTGGTCGCACTGTTCCGTTCCGCTGTAAATTTCCGCTTATGAGACGGCGGCTAACCGGATACGCTGATGGGCGTACTACTAACCAGTAACTTCCACCATGCATAAAAATACAATCGTATCGCGGTATTTCGCGGTTGTGACAGTTTTCCTAACCTGAATAGTTGTCAACTAATAATTTAATGATTAATGCTTGATATTTCGGTTTACGAAACAAAGCGACACATTTTTCTTATTAAATCTTTATTTTTACGCGAAAACACCATTGATTCAGTATATTTTTATCAAAATTTAAGATTGACGAAGTCTTAACATTTACCAAAGAAAATGGAACGCACTGAAGAAGATTGGTCTGTAGAGTGTTCAGATGATGAGAAATATGAAATAGATGAAAAGGTAAAATAGAATCATATTTATTTGATATGTCAATCTTTAATCAAATCCTTATTATGTATAATCTATATAATTTTATAAAAGATTCTTTTACACATATATACCTAATTGATTGTTTTTGTACTACTTACTAATATATATAAATGTCTAAGCTTACATTTAAAACCTTATCGTGTTAATTTTCAACAAATATCTTTATTTTCTATTTGTATAGCATAAATGGAATATAAAGGCTGAGGAGATGCTCTCATTAATTGAAGGTTTGGAAGTAAATAATTGCATTCTAGAACTTGAATGGAAGTGTCCTGGCAGACGAGGGCCTTCCCCTGTTCCTTCAAACAATCTACAACAGGAGCTCGAATCTCCAGAATATAAGTAAGTTTTCAGTAGCAATATTTTAATTATTTTAATTTTGTTTCTATATATTGACATTATCTTTACAGAACTGAAGAAAAATCTGACTTTGATTTTATGGATGAAATGTCATTACCAAGATTACCTGTTCGGAGAATTGGCGAAAGTACCCCAAAAGGTAGTGCCAAGAAAAAAATTGCTAGCTTTAATGGGGTAATATCTACAATGTTAAGACATCGTAGATTGGAGCAACAAGAAATAAATTCAAGTCCAAAAAAAGGTGAATCTCCTATGTTAAAGCCACCTACTTAAAGATGAATTATTTAAAATTGAAATAATTCAATAAAAAATTTTTTTTAAACCACAAAAAGGACATCCCTTGAAAGTTTATTCTGGGATTATTTAAAAAATCGTTATATTTAAAATTTTACCATATTAAATGTGTAATATTTCATGTTGTAATATTTCTATAATATAATTTAAGAATAATTGTGTATTTTCTTAAGTACATAGTTTAATTATATATTTCTAAATGTTTTAAATATGATACAGCTAAAATATTTTTCTCAATTATTGAACAATTTTTTAATTTAATTTTGCAAATACACTACTAAGATGATTCGTCATATCGTTACAGAAATTCTATTTTGAAATTATAATAATTGCGCAAATGTTTATCAATATTTTAGGAAATACTTCTGGATCTATTTTTGTAAATATATCTACGTAATAGCAGATTATAATTTTTATGCAAGATTTCGTCATATCATTTAATAAATGTTGTCTTATCGCGGGATATAATTGTACCAAGGATAAAAAAAAAATAAATGCTTGTGTTCGGATTTTAAATATATAATAAATTATAAATGAAGATGTAATTAATATTATTTATATATTAATTAATTTCCTTTAGATTTCTGAGTTATTTATATTTAACTGTTCTTCAAAAATAATATTTGACATTTATTGAATAATTATTGAATGATTATTTTCGAGTGGTGTCCATTTGTCGTGATTGATCATCAGCCACTCACAGCGCTTGAACAGTGAGAAATCTTAGGTACCGATGGCTGTAAGTAATTGTGGTCAATCACAACGTAATCAATGGGACGCTCCCATTATTATTTTCAAAAAAACTTACATAATTATTCCGGTGCTGGTTGAGTAGGCTGCAATTCATTTATTGTATGCGATGATATACACATTGGTACACATTCTGTAGATTGGTACATTCACATTTGGTAAAACTGTGAAAGCTGGTTAAATTTGTGGTATGTAAAAACATAGATTAATAAAAGAAATCATTAATATTTAATAATTAACTAATACATAATTTTAATGATTTGATTGAAAAAAAGTATTTTATAATTATTAAATAACAATAATGAAAAGATAAATGGCGTCAAAATAAAATTAGTTCAATTATTATTGCCCTTGACATTTGTACTCGTATCAATAGTATTAGTTTTATTATTGTCAATCTTTTTTATTTAGGATTTAGGATTTAGGAAACTTGATAGATTTCGCAAACATATATAAATATGGATTTGTAAAAATATCGAAATTTAATCTTTATAATAATTGTAAATACAATAAATGTAAAATATTCTACAATAAATTTTCTTTTATAAAAATATAAAAATTTATAATAAAATTGGATAATTGCATTATCATTAGCTGCATAAGTTGATTAAAAATTATCAGATGTACCTGATTTTTTAAAAAAACGTCACTTAACGTTCATAAAATAAGACGTAGACTATTATATTTGCTTATATATATTATTCATTTCCCATTTATTAATTCCAGATATCAATCAGGATCGATAAATTATCTGATTTTGTTATTTCTATTTTTAATTATATTATTTAACATTATATCCAATAATTGAAATTATTTAATTAAATATTTATCTATAATTACTTTTCTATTTTATAAAATTTAAGTATTTAATAATGGTGTGTGTATGTGTGTTTGGATCACAATCGTGAATTCGCATCCGGATTTGCAGAATTCAAAATGGCGGATCCAATATGGACAATCAATATAATAGATCTGTTTGCGTTGCTTGTACTTTTTATACTGAGCATCTTCGCTCTTTCTTTTCAAATTTTTGAGAATTTCAAGCAACGCGAATCTATTATTACATCAGTTTTAAAATCGCACGGCGCACAATTTAGAGTAAAAAAAAACCTATTATTTTGTTTTACCTCTTGTTTTTACTTTACAAAAAGATTGTTCAAGGAAGATACTAGAAAATTATTTTAGTGAAAAAGTCATCATGCGCCATAAAAAGTACATTCATCAGTTACTTGAATTACTTTAATGTATTGAAATAAATAATGTATTGAAGCATATTAAATAATTTATAATTAATTAAAATGAATATACAATACCAAGGTACTTATTTTAAAATATATTTATTTATATTTTGATAAATCTTTAATGTATAATTTACAAACTTTTATTCATGTATAATCGCTGTAAAAATATGTATGTCTTTATTTTATCCATCGAACTAACAGCTCTTATAATATTCATTTCTTCAAGAAACATTTTAAATAATTTTCTGAAAAAGAAAGAAAATAACTTTAGACTCATATCGTGCAAAATAGAAAATATTCAATAATTATTCTATTTAAAATATTTTCTTTTATAAAAATTCAATGACTTCTATTTATTAAAGATATATCCATGAATAGTTTAACATGTATAAAGGTTTTATCATTCCATCATCACATTATATAACAAAATGTTATTTATCGCAACAAAATATCGCGGAGAATACACAACAACATATGACTCACTCGATTCGTTTAAGTAATTTTCAAATCCGTTTCATTTAAATGATTGCATAAAATGGCCTTGATAGCAAACTCCTCATGCATTTCTCGTAATTTTTCAACGATTCGATCGTATCTTGTTACGTGTTTCGTCTGGATCGTCGATGGTAACATTGTCACAGCCATTAAACAGGAATCCGTATTGCCAGCTTCAATGAGGCCTTCTGTGACACTAAGCTTGACTTCTTCCAAATCGGAATGTTCATATATTTTACTTAGGAAGTACTTGAGAATCTCGGCCATAAACAAGACTAATAGCGATGAGAAAATGTCGGTTAATTCATGCAACTGCTGACCGAGTTTCAGACCAAAGGAGTTATTAATTGATGTGCATTCTTGCAACTTTTTGGCGTATATCAACAATAAATAAGACTTCGCGTCCTGTACAGGTGATAAGACAGATAAAAATATCATTTGCATGTTATCGATAATTTCCGGATTAATAGATTTATTAAAGCAGAATTTATTAATGTAGCTACTGACGAAATCATCTATGAATAAACGCACGGCTTTGTTGATTGGATAAAAGTGCATTTTTTTAGAATGGGGTATATTCCAATAAGTTATCACTGCGTTACGAAAAACATCGGCGAATACTTTCATGCGTCCTGCATATTTATCCTTATCCTCTGATAAAATATACGATATTGTAAAACGTCTTGCTATTCTGGATACACTACTATCCATATGGAATAAAAATCTTCGAAGTATATTTTCAGCAAATTCTTCGGATAAAAGATTGAAAATAGATGCAGTAAGCGTCGCTAAGAAATTGACAATGTATTTGTTTGTTTTCTGATCATCCAGTCCCATTCCTTGAAAATCGTCTATCGTTTTGAGCCATAGATCGAGATACCTTACGACGTATTCATTGGGGATCTCGGGAAACAGCTTTATTTCCAAAAGCAATGCTTCGTCATTGAGACTCAACGTCGACATAGTTTGACAATATAGGGACCAAGTTTCGGGACTTGGTTTTGTGAGAAAACATTTCTGGAATGCCTCGAATAAAACTTGTCGTACTGAATGATGGTTCTCGGTTGCCCATGTTTTCTGGAGAAAGTCTATAAGTTCATGCATAGTAGCTACCAAGTACATCAGCCTAACCCCGTGCTTACGTGTACTTACACGCATACTCATCAACTTTTGTGCGATTGATATAACTTTAGGCGAAGAAGTTCGCCTACTTACGTTTATGAGCGTCATCAAAGCTATTGACAAGTAATCTCCTACGCACAATCTAACTACGAGATCGAGAGATATTGGTGGATTGGAAAGTCTCATGCTTAACGGTAAATTTTGTATAATTTTATAGTTATCTTTGGCATTTGGATGATCGGTATTTATCGTTGTTTCTGTGGGTGTGAAAGGGTCGATTAGTTTTGTCAGCTCATCACCATGAAGTAAAAGGGCCAAGATAACTAGGCTAGATGATATTTCATCTGTACTATTATCGCACACATATTTCATGCAACGTTCAGCAAATTTAATGGGTAAATCTTTGTACCATCGCGTGGCTCTGACGAAGTGTTGTACATATTTTGAATGATAGTTTTTCATGCAGTCTTCCAAGTATTTTTCCCAATTGTCAAGTATGTTTTGTAAATCTCGTTTCAATAGAGCGAGCGCTGCGCCTGATGTTACATTCGCGATATTTGAAGGAAACCAACTGCAGTACAGTTCTGGTTCATTCTTCTGCAATATATTTTTCATGTTCCAAGAATCTTCTTCTACACGTATTACTTCGTGAATAACATTCATTAACCAAGGATAATCCCTAATTGTCATTTCTTCTATTTTAACGCACGATTTTTTACACCTGTTGTTAAAATCGTATATTGCTACAAAAAATTGGCAAAGAATATTTTTGTTTTCATCATTCTCTTGAAAAGATTTCTTTTCAATTTGATTTGCGAAAGTTACGAGACACTGCCTCTCATACTGTGGATATTCTTTGAGTACGTTAAAATTTATGTACCATCGATTCTTCTCTAGAAACATATCGATCAATTCCTCGATTGGCATATTGTGTATAAGTTTGAAATGTATTATAGCCAAGAGCATTTCTTCCGGCACGAATTCATTTTTTACATAAAACAATCGAACGATGTCTAGTATAAGAGAAATCAGCTTTTCATTTAAATGAGGTAAATCGTATATTCGTAAAAGTTGATTGAATATTTGTTGGAATACCCAAGAGTTTTCGTTTTTATGCCTATTTAAAAAATATGTCAAAGTATCGAACAACGCATCATCATCTTTATTAACATTACAAACATAAATCATTTGCAAAAGGAGACCGATTCTATCTGTTTCATCTTTAGTTTTATTTAATTTTTCTTTGATAACCGGTATGACTTCGTTAACAGGTAAATAACAAGTCCAAACTGTTTCATATTCCATCGTATCTTTACAATGATCATTCTCTAAGTTCTGCTTCTCGATTTTAATTCTAGCCTGTTTGATCCGTTCCTCGGTAGGTAATAATTGTAATAAGGCAGGCGTGACATTTTTTGTCTCGTCGAGAAATTCGGCATCGTATTTATCCTTGTATGACTTACGGAGTAGATCGTATTGTTTATCACGTGGATAATGTTTCAAGTAATCAAGCATACTATCTGTATCGAAAGAAGACATTTTCGCGGGCAGTAAACCAGGAAATACTCTCTCCATTAAATCGTCATTAATTTTTTTGAATGGTAACATGCGGATATATACAAGCGGCTTTTGTATCAGGTGTTGCTGAGCTTTCTTCAGGAATATTTCGGCGCACGTGTTGCTCAAAATAATATCCGGCGGATGAGTCTCGTGAATCTCACACAGTTCCACGAAAGCCTCCAGTCGTTTCTTTATTAATTTAGGGAGGAAAGATTTGTATCTATCGATGCCGATCGCGAATGGAGTGCGCTCAGTCTCGTTCAATTCACGAGGTTTCAATAATTTCAGAAAACGAACTACCAAATCCGGATTCCTGTAGAAGATCTTTGTAAGAATTTTATCAGGCAGCACGAATTCCTTCTCCACGATTATTTTATAAATGAAAGTCTCGTCGCAAGCCATGAGCAACGGATAAGCGATTTGAATCCCGTAAATAGATGTCACTTCTGCAAATATTTCCTGCGCGAAAACTGGATCCTTCCCGGATAATTGATGCGCGAGTGTTAGCACAATACGTGTCCTTGTGTTTACAGAAACGTAAGGGAACAGATGTTCGCAGAAATACCTGACGTTAATGATCTTCTTGTGGCTGCCATCGAAAAACCAGAAGGCTTTAAATGCCCGGTTTATTATTGTCGAGTCTTCGCACTTGAGCGCCGATGTTACATCCTCGTGCTTCTTCTTCTTGATGGCAGTTCCCACACGCAATATAGGCAGTAATTCTGACGGAAATTGTTCCAGATCTTTGCTCGTCTGGTGCAAAGTCAATTTTCCGATCCAACGTAATTTCTCATTAGCGGTATTACCCGGTACTTTTTGAATCGCCCGTAGATGAGACATCTGTAAGTCGCGAGGTATCTCGCAATCCATAGTGATATTTCAAAACGAGCGAACGAAACAAAAAAAAAAAGATATTCTACGTGTATATATATTTCTAATTAATTTATGTATTAGTTTTGTGAAGATGCGAGTATAGGAGAGTTTCGTTTTATCGTCTTGCGTTATCCAGCGAAATTGTCACCATCGATCGAATGAATTCAAATGTCTTGTTTATTTCGTTCAATCGGAAGATGAAATCGATAAGGATTTACTTATCGAACGCTCCGATATTCAAGTTTCAGAGAAGAAACGCACTTACTGAAAATATAGAATGTTTATTGTTTCCGAAATATATATATATATATTGCACGAAACACGAACAAAACGAAGTGCGTGACAAAAAACGGAAATCCGTTTTTTCACAATTTGCACAAATGTAACTTCGTTTTCGGCCGAGAAATGCAGTACGCAAAAGTAAAGTCAGTCGCACTGACTGATTATTTTTCGCACACAGGAAAATTTAATCTTATCAAGTTTAAATTTTTATCAAGATCAATGAGATAATCTCATTAAATTCTGATCGATTGCACCTTTTGTAAAGATCTTTTTCGTGAATTTTGCACACAGATGTAACTCTCGCCTTTTCTTCACTCTGTTCATTCCGACTGGATGATTCACGAAACGATCGATGAGTAATATACCATATATGAAACTTGCCAAAGAACCGCATAACTACATTCGATATACAATTGATACAATGACCAAAGAAGATTGGAAAGAACAGAAGATTCACACATATTGTAAGCAGAGTCACCTGTTGAGTCTGATGCCCAATTATGTTTTTATTTCATTTACATTAACTAATATCGATAATGACTAATAAAGGGTCCTCTCCCGTGTCGATCTTTAATTAATCTCGTCGGTGGTTATGTTAAAACTTTAAAAGACATTATATGTATAATTATGTGTGATCATGATATTTAAAATAAAGTACTCTATATT